CTGCTCCACTTCCCATCCAGCTCTCTGCTTATGGCCTGGGAATGCAGTGGAAGATGGCCCAAGCACTTGGGCCCCTGCACCCATGTGGGAGACCCAGAAGAAACTCCTGGTTCCTGGCTTTGGATCAGTTCAGCTCCAGCCATTGTGGCCATTTTGGGTGTGAACCAGCAGACGGAAGACCTTTCTCTTTGCCTCTCCCTCTCTGTCTGTAACTCTACCTCTCACATAAACAAAATCCTAAAAAAAAAAACAAAACAAAACAAAAAAAACCAACTGTCTATTTCCATCTGTCTCTACTTTTCAAATTAAATAATCTTAAAAATAAAAAAATTAAACATTTGATAGAAAAAACTGGCAGTTTCTATATAATACATAATATATATACATATATTATAATATAATATATACATATATATTACATATTATATCTGTATATATATAACATATATATTCTACCTTTTGTTAGAAAAGATAGCTACTTTACATGTATTATTCTCCGCTTTGCTTCTTTTAACTTACATGTATTCTGGAGCTAATTATGGAAAATATATGAAGAATCTCCTTCATTTTTAGGTGTATTGTCTTCCATGTGTGTATTGATCTATCATTTTTATTCATCCAATCCTATTCATGGATATTTCCATAATTTCAAATCTTTTGGTACTTCAGATAATGCCTCTGTAAATCACCTTCAGAGTATGCGATCTTCTTGTTTAACCCTCCTACAATCTAAAGGTAAAGGTCCACTATGTCTAAAAAGCTGCCCCCTACCACACCCAATCTGAGTCATCCATTCTGATGGGCATTTATCACAGACTTTGGGAACCCAGTGCCTTTTGAGCACCCTTCTCATGTTTCAAGAATTTCCCTCTTTTGAGGCCTACCTAGTTAGAAGAAAAAAATAGTTATTTCTTCTTCTCTCCACCTTAGCAGCTGGAGCACAGGCACATGACGGGTGCTGCTCTAGTTAGGTACCCTTGTGTGAGATATTGGTGAAGGAGGCAGTGTGAGGGGAAAGACTGGTACAGAGCCAAGTGGTTTGCAGGGAATAGAATGAGTTGTAAGGCTGACCTCCTGACACAGAAGAGCCATTGACGCCTTCGACAGCAGCAGTTGCAGTCAAATTGAGCTCTGGGTGCCAACAGTTGCTGAACGGTAGCAGGGCGGGCAGTAGCTGCAGTTTTTCCGTCCGCTCAGTTGCGCTGGATAATTCTGAGTGACTTCCTTGGATGCCTCGCCCTCCAGTTGTTTCCTCCAGCCTCCCCAACAATTCTATGAGCCATCCCATACCATTGTGGTTTTTTTTGGTTTCGTTTTTATTGAGACAAAAAGCTGAAGAGAGAGAGTGAGCTCCTATTTACTAGTTCACCCCCCCAAAATGGGCACAGTGGCTGGGGTGAAGCTGGGAGCCAGGAACTCAGTCCAGGTTCATCATGAGGGTGGCAGGAACTAAATCACTTGAGCCATCCTCAGTGCTTCCCAAGGTCTGCACTAGCAGGAAGCTGGAGTCAGGAGCTGGAGCCAGGAACTGAACCCAGGCACTCCGATACAGGATTCAGGCAATCTAAGTGGTGCCTTAACTGCTAGGCCTTTTTTTTTTTTTTTTTTTTTTTTAAGATTTATTTATTGGGGCCGGCACTGTGGCGCAGCAGGTTAACGTCCTGGCCTGAAGCACTGGCATCCCATATGGGCACCGGTTCAAGATCCGGTTGCTCCATTTCCAATCCAGCTCTCTGCTATGGCCTGGGAAAGCAGTAGAAGATGGCCCAAGTCCTTGGGCCCCTGCACCTGCATGGGACACCCGGAAAAAGCTCCTGGCTCCTGGCTTTGGATTGGTGCAGCTCCAGCCGTTGCAGCCAATTGGGGAGTGAACCATTGGATGGAAGTCCTCTCTCTCTCTCTCTCTCTGCCTCTTCTCTCTCTGTGTAACTCTGACTTTCAGAAAAATAAATAAATCTTTAAAAAAAGATTAATTTATTTATTTTGAAAGTCAGAGTTACAGAGAGACAAGGAGGGAGGGAGGGAAGGAGAGGGAGGGAGAGAGAGAGAAAGATATCTTCTACCCACTGTTTCACTCCCAGATGACCCCAATGGCTAGGGCTGAAGCCAGGAACCAGGAGCTTCTTCCGGGTCTCTTACATGGGTGGCAAGGCGCAACTACTTGGGCCACCTTCTGCTGCTTTCCCAGGCCCATTAGCAGGGAGCTGGATTGGAAGTGAAGCAGCTAGGACATGAACCGGCACCCATATGAGATGCCAGTGTCACAGGTGGAGGCTTTATTGGCTATACCACGACACTGGCCCTTATCCTTTTAATAAATACCCTTTCTGCTTAATCTGTCAGCTTCAGTTTCTGTTACTCGAAGCCAGCAAATAGTCGATGCAGCAGATCCTTGAAGTCAGGGACAGCATAAATTTTAGTTTCCACAGGGACCTGAACATCCTGACTAGCTCTCCACCCTGTTCCTTTACCCTGAGAGTGCCTGTGACTTCTGGGATAGAAGGATTTACAGTCTAACAGGAGGAACTGGGTTGTTAAGGGTCAAGCAGCTCTCCTGCAGAAACCCTTTTGAAAATAATCGATCCTAAGAAGCAGAGGCTGTTTCCCTGACTCCTGGAGAAGAAGACTGGATGCTGGTGATCAAGAGGGGTTCAGCAGGGATCCAGCAGAGCTCCAGGACCAGTACAGCAGATAGATGGTGAGGCCCACGGTCACAGCAGAAGACAAACTGTAAGGATCCCTATTCCCACCTACCTGAAAGCTCCTGGAGGCCATGAAGGAAAAACTGAACTTCCAGATAACCAAGGAGGAAGGCCTAAAGACCCAGGACTGGGGGGAATTCTGGAAGTGGACTCACTGGGGCCCAGGGGCAAGCCTGCCCAGGTCCCATGTATTCAGACTGCTAATCTGTTATCTGTCTTTGATAGCAAACATTGCTGCCCAGTTTGTCATTTGTCCTTTCATTTTGTGTGTTGATGAAGACATTTGAATTACTGATATTTTCTTTATATTTTTGTATTTTTTTGTATTTTCCTAGGCTTTTGTTTCACTGGTTTCTCCCTTTTCCAAAAATATGTTCAATATTCTCTTATACTTGCCTATAGTTTTTTTTTTTTAAAAGTATTATTTTGTTTCCATGCTGCTGGGCCCCTAATGAGCTAGTTTTTTTTCTGCACAGGTCTTCTACCCCAGAACCCACAGCACTCTTAGGGTGAAGGAAGAAGGGTAAAGAGCAAGTCAGTAGGTGATCAGGGCCCTGGGATGCCTGAAATTATCCCCTCTCTGACCTCTGGGATCTGCTACATCAGCTATTTCTGTGCTGCAAGTGACAGAAGCTGATGCTTGCAGATTAAACAGCCAGGACTTGAACTGGTGCCATATGGGATGCTGGCACTGCAGATAACTGTTTAATTTGCTGTGCCACAGTGCTGGCCCCTAATAATTATAGATTTTAAAAACTATTACTAACTAACTTGTTTGAAAGACTGAAAGAAACAGAAATAGAGACAAAGAGTGCTCCCATCCACTGGTTCACTTCCCAAATGCCTGTAGGGCTGGGTCAACCCAAACTCAAGAGCCAAGTACTCAGTCCTGGTCTCCCATGTGTGTGGCAAGGACACAAGTGCTTGAGTCATCACCTGCTGCCTCCCAAGGTGCACATTAGCAGGAAGTTGGAATAGAGAATGGAGCTAGGACTCAAACCCAGTTACTCCAATATGGCATTTAGGGTCCCAACTGGCATCTTAAGCACTATGCCAAATGTCCTATGGTTATGTTTTCCAACCAGGTTTGAATCTTAAAGAGCTACATACTAAAAGATAGGATGCCTGTGATTTATGTCAAAGGCATATAGTGGTGGGAGAGAGGGAAGGATATAAATGAAATAAGATTGGCTACGAATTGTTGCTTGTCAAAGCTGGATAATGAGTATATGAGGGTTTTTTTTTTTACTCTACATTCTATTTTTACATACATTAACGTTTGAATTTTTCCATCATAAAAAGTAAAAAAAAATTTTTTTAAATATAATGGCAGTGAGGTAGCAATGGGAGTTGTTAAATATTCATTAAATGAAGCTCCAGTTTCTCAGGGTGTCACATTTGTTGGGCCTTGCTTAATCGGGCTGCATCTTGCCAACGACTATGAACATCAGCAACAGCAAATCTTTATTGAGTCTTCTGTGTGTCAAGTCCAATGAAAGAGAAAGTTTCTTTTCACAGTGATATAAAGAGATGCAATTTATCAGTTATAAAAATAGTATAATGAAATCATTTCTCCCACAGTGAGGCCCTGATGACTCTTCTAAAATAAATAACATTACTTACATAATTTTGAAAATACACCTCTACTAAAAAGAGGATAAAACATAATCAGACCATGTCATAATGTCATTGAAAATGATTTACTAATTTCCCAACTACCATCATGACAAAGGCTCTCTGCCAGGCCTGCCTCATGCCTGGACCCCACCTCCTTCCCCAGCCCCACAGCCTACCCATCTCCACAGCCACGAGAAGGGACTTAGAATTCAACAGCATTCACTGGTCTCCTAACATGACTCGGGCTTATGCCATGTGCATGCCATGCTGTCTCTTCACACCTGAAACTGCTTTGAGTTTCAACTGACTTGTCATCTTCTCTGAGATACCTCCTTTGAACCACCACTGCCACCCTCCCCTGCCAAAATAAGCAAGCTGCCCTTTTGTGCTCTCTGTGTAGGGAGTTTGAAGGGGAAATCTCTTCATGGAGAACAGGCATAAAATCCTGTTAATTCACCGTGTATGACTTAAGACCTGAGACATGTTAGATCAGTGAACACTTATTGAATGAATGAATTAACAAATTAATGAACATAGCTTCCTCACCTGAATGTCAAACCTTAACATCTAGGACAGTACCATAACTTATGAATATTTATCAAAATAATTAAAATTACCTGTGAAAGAAAAGGCACAATAACTAATTTTTTAAAATATTTATTTATTTATTTGAAAGGCAGAGTTAGAGAGTTACAGAGAGGTAGAGGCAAAGAGAGAGAGGTCTTCCATCTGCTGGTTCACTCCCCAAATGTCTGCAATGGCTGGAGCTGGAATGATCCAAAGCCAGGTGACTCCCTGGGGCTGGCCGTGCCCCCGCCACCCGCCTCCCCTGTGTCCCGGACCAGCCCCCAGGAGCTGACAGAGGAGCTGAGCAGGCGGCTTCAGGTCACTCTGGACGCCAACGGGGAGCAGTTCAGTTCCCTCATCAGAGAGCCCTCCTCCAGGCTGCGTTCCTGCAGTGTCACCGACGCCGTCGCCGAGCAGGCCCATCTGCCACCGCCGTCAGTGGCCTATGTACACACCACGCCGGGCCTTCCTTCAGGCTGGGAAGAAAGGAAAGATGCTAAGTGACGCACATACTATGTCAATCATAACAATCGAACCACAACTTGGACTCGGCCCATCATGCAGCTTGCAGAAGACGGCGCCGCCTCCGGATCGGCCACAAACAGTAGCAACCACCTAATCGAGCCTCAGATCCGCCGGCCTCGTAGCCTCAGCTCGCCAACAGTAACTTTATCTGCCCCGCTGGAGGGTGCCAAGGACTCCCCCGTGCGTCGGGCTGTGAAAGACACCCTTTCCAACCCACAGTCCCCACAGCCGTCCCCCTACAACTCCCCCAAACCTCAGCACAGAGTCACCCAGAGCTTCCTGCCGCCCGGCTGGGAGATGAGGATCGCGCCCAACGGCCGGCCCTTCTTCATTGACCACAACACAAAGACGACGACGTGGGAAGATCCACGCCTTAAGTTCCCAGTTCATATGCGGTCAAAGGCATCTTTAAACCCCAATGACCTCGGCCCTCTCCCGCCTGGCTGGGAAGAAAGGATTCACTTGGACGGCCGGATGTTCTACATCGATCACAACAGCAAAATCACCCAGTGGGAAGACCCAAGACTGCAGAACCCAGCCATCACCGGTCCGGCCGTTCCTTATTCCAGAGAATTTAAGCAGAAATACGACTACTTCAGGAAGAAGCTGAAGAAGCCGGCTGATATTCCAAACAGATTTGAAATGAAGCTCCACAGGAACAACATATTCGAAGAATCCTACCGGAGGATCATGTCGGTGAAAAGACCAGATGTCCTGAAAGCCAGACTCTGGATAGAATTCGAGTCGGAGAAAGGCCTGGACTATGGGGGCGTGGCCAGAGAATGGTTCTTCCTACTGTCCAAAGAGATGTTCAACCCTTACTATGGTCTCTTTGAGTACTCTGCCACGGACAACTACACACTTCAAATCAACCCCAATTCAGGCCTCTGTAATGAAGACCACTTGTCCTATTTCACGTTTATCGGGAGAGTCGCGGGTCTGGCTGTATTTCATGGGAAGCTCTTGGATGGTTTCTTCATCCGCCCGTTTTACAAAATGATGCTGGGGAAGCAGATAACCCTGAACGACATGGAGTCCGTGGACAGTGAATACTACAACTCTTTGAAGTGGATCTTAGAAAATGACCCCACCGAACTGGACCTCATGTTCTGCATAGATGAGGAGAACTTCGGGCAGACATACCAAGTGGACCTGAAGCCCAATGGCTCAGAGATAATGGTGACGAATGAAAACAAAAGGGAATATATCGACTTGGTCATCCAGTGGAGGTTTGTGAACCGGGTCCAGAAGCAGATGAACGCCTTCCTGGAGGGATTCACAGAACTCCTTCCCATTGACCTGATTAAAATTTTTGATGAAAATGAGCTGGAGTTGCTGATGTGTGGTCTCGGGGATGTGGACGTGAACGACTGGAGACAGCATTCTATCTACAAGAATGGCTACTGCCCAAACCACCCGGTCATCCAGTGGTTCTGGAAGGCTGTGCTTCTGATGGACGCCGAGAAGCGCATCCGGTTACTGCAGTTTGTCACGGGCACGTCCCGGGTACCTATGAATGGATTTGCCGAACTTTATGGTTCCAGTGGTCCTCAGCTGTTTACAATAGAGCAATGGGGAAGTCCTGAAAAGCTGCCCAGAGCTCACACATGCTTTAATCGCCTCGACTTACCTCCGTACGAAACCTTCGAAGATTTACGGGAGAAACTGCTCATGGCCGTGGAGAACGCCCAGGGCTTCGAAGGGGTGGATTAAGCCGCCCCCGCCGGCCGCGGCCGTCGGGCAAGTTCCGCTTGCACTTTCGCGTTGGCCTAACGGACTTTGCAGAGACGGTGGCAGAGCAGCAGCCGAGCCTTCGCCCAGGCCCTCGCCCGAGCCCCGCCGTGGGGACCCAGTCCCGGCTCGAGTTCCTGCCTCTTCCGCCACACTTGATGTGTACGCTAATTACATTTCAGGAGGACTGACTCTATTTATGTTGTGCCTCTGCAGGCAAAACCCTTAATAAATATTTTGCATACTTTCAAAAAAAAAAAAAAAAGCTCTTCCGGGAAGCCGACAAGATGGCGGAAGTGGAGCAGAAGAAGAAGTGGACGTTCCGCACGGCTGCAAAGGCCCAAGCACTTGGGCCATCTTCTACTCTACTTTCCTAGGCCATAGCAGAGAGCTGGATCAGAAGTAGAACAGCTGGGTCTCCAACCAGCACTCATATGGAATACTGGCACTGCAGGATGTGGCTTTACCTGTTATGCCACAGTGCCGACCCCACAATATCTATATTAAGGTCGATATCCAAACTAACCACTTAAAAGACTTTGATCCAGGGCTTAAAAATAAGTTAAAGACAAAAAGTTTTTTGGAGGTTGAATATAATGAAATATTTTCCAAATTTGAATAACCTGGTTTAAAAGTGTGAAATAAAAACATATCTCTAGCTTTTAGTGTGAACAGACATTTATTAACTTAAGTGTTTAACATGCATTGTTTTAAAAGTTACTAAACAAAAATGTTGATTTTATTTTACCAAAAGAAAAAAGCTGGAAAGATTTTTAGAACTCGGTTAGATTCTTATGTGGAACAGATCACTTTCTCTGCACTCACAGTGCCTATGGAACTAAAGAAATATATGCAGCGAGCGAGCAGCACGTGATTTCCTGCATCTGGAAGAGCCAGGACCCTTACATCATGAATGACATCACCTTATTGATCTAATTTCTAAAAGACAATGGAATGATTTCTTCTTGCCCAATATAGTAGTTTGGACCAGCAACTTCCTAGCGGGATGATGGAGGGCTCCGGGGACAAAGGACCATTGTTGGTCCCCTCTCTGCAGAAGGTGGTTTACAAAGTGATCTTTCTTAGGAGTCAGCCTGGGACTGGTTGCACCCCGCGTGACAGGTGCTCTTACATAAGGAAGGCAGAATTGGATTCAATTTGGATAGCTTTCCTTTTTTGAAACCATCTTTCTCTGAAATAGTCCTCTCTAAAAGTCAGTAGAACAACAGGAGGGAAAAGTGAGATCTTGAAGTCCCCAGGGAATCAGGGCCGAATTTCCTTCCCTTTCTTTATTCATCCATCTTTTCACAGCTGCCATCCGCTGGGACCTTTTTTGAGAGGAGGTTTTATTCCCTCACTTTCTTTTAGGATCCTGCCTCACATAATCTTCACTGGCTTTTCACAAAGAAAACTAGGACTCCCATTTATTTTATCCAATCCACTGCTACATTCAGCCTTGAAAACAGCATGCAGTGTATTATCCCCTCACAGGGACAAATAGCAGGATGGAGCCTGACGAATTTCCATGAGGCTGATTTCTGCTAATCAAACACTTGTATTCTCTGACACCCTTTCAGTTCCTGTTGATAAATGAGTAGTACCAGAAAGAACATTATCTTTTAGTATGAAACTCAGAATGCATAGAAAATAGATAATACTAGCCGGCGCCGCGGCTCACTAGGCTAATCCTCTACCTAGCGGCGCCGGCACACCCTGTTCTAGTCCTGGTCCGGGCGCCGGAATCTGTCCTGGTTGCTCCTCTTCCAGGCCAGCTCTCTGCTGTGGCCCGGGAAGGCAGTGGAGGATGGCCCAAGTGCTTGGGCTCTGCACCCCATGGGAGACCAGGAGAAGCACCTGGCTCCTGCCTTCGGATCAGCGCGGTGTGCGGCAAAAGGAAGACCTTTCTCTCTGTCTCTCTCTCACTGTCCACTCTGCCTGTCAAAAAAAAAAAAAAAAAAAAGAAAGAAAGAAAGAAAGAAAATAGATAATACTGAGATCTTCATGTGAAAATCACTCGAATGGGAGAGTAGTCATATTGCAACACTGTCAAAATGCACACTACACATATCCTTTGATTTGACAATTCTGCTGCAGGATTCTAGCTCACAGGAATACTCTCACCTCACAGCAAAGGCATCGGAACAACTTATTTTTTGAATCACATCTACGGAGCATATGAACTAACATAAAAAGACATATATTGTAACATGGAAAAGTTGACTGAAGAACAGTATATAGGAGACTTTATTTTTGTGGGAAAAAATCACACCATATGTACATGGGTACATATATTTATATAAACAAGGGTATTTCAAAAAGTTAATGGAAAAACATAATTAAAACCTAAGTTTATTTTGGTACACAAGAAATGAAATTCGTGCATAGCACTTTTGTCTTTAATCCAGAAGCATAGCACTTTCATAATATACATTTTGCCACAAACCTTTCGAAGACCTTTTGTATGAATGGCTTTTGAGATTTTTTTGCACCAAAATACAATTATCTTTTAATTCCACTTTCTATGAACTTTCAGAAACAGCCTTTTATTTATGGATGTAAAAAAAAGTAAACTCCTAACAGTGGTTCCTCTCTAGGGAGAGTGAGAAGTATGGTCAGGGGAAATTTCATTCATCCATTTTGGCATTATTTAAGTTTATTTTTAAAAAATGAAGGAAATAGGAGCTGACACTGTGGCACAGTGGGTTAAAGCCCTGGCCTTATGTTCAAATTATATGGATGCCCATTCAAGTCCCAGCTGCTCTGCTTCCAATCCAGCTCTCTGTTAATGCACCTGGGAAAGCAGTAAAAGATGGCCCAAGTCCTTGGGCCCCTGCACTCCTGTGGGAGACCTGGAGGAAGTTCCTGGCTCCTGGCTTCGGATTAGTCCTGCTCTGGCCGTTGAGGTCATTTGGGGAGTGAACCAGTGAATGGAAGACATCTCTCTCTCTCTCTCTCCCCCTCCCTCCCTCCCTCCCTCCCTCTGCCTTTCTCTGTAACTCTGTCTTTCAAATAAATAAAATAAATCTTTAAAAAAAATAAAATTAAAAATAAAAAAGAAAGAAATGCAGGTCCGGCACTGTGGCACAGCAGGTTAAACTGCCATCTGCAGTGCCAGCAGCCCATTTGGGTGCCAGTTCATGTCCTGATTGCTCCACTTCCGATCCTGGGAAGGCAGCAAAGGATGGCCCAGGACCTTGGGCCCCTGTGCCCACATGGGAGACCCAGAAGAAGCTCCTGGCTCTTGGCTTTGGCCAGGGTTGGGCCATTTTGGCCATTTGTGTGATGAACCAGAGAACAGAAGACCTCTCTGTCTTGCCTTCTCTCTCTCGCTCTCGCTCTCGCTCTCACTCTCTAACTCTGCCTTTCAAATAAATAAATAAATCCAAAACCAAAAAAAGGCAGGAAATTTAGAATAAAGGAATGGGCATACTGCAGTTGGTTTATAGAGCATTTATTCTGTGCTAGGCACAGGGTAGACACTTTATATGTAGGTTATCACATATATTCCTTAAGCCTTCTAAAGTAGGTAGGATCATCTCTACTAACTGAGGAGAAAGCAGATTTGGAGAAGTGTGTAACTTGCCCAAGATAACAGGGGAAGTAAGTAGCTGGGATTGAGATGCGGGCCTTTCTTTCTTTTTTAAAGATTGGTTTATTTATTTGCAAGGCAGAGTTAGAGAGAGAGAGAGAGAGAGAGAAAAGAAGAGAGAGAGACAGATCTTCCATCTGCTGCTTCATTCCCCATATGGCTGCAACAGCTGGAAGCTGGGCCAGTTGAAAGCTAGGACTGGGTCTCCCACATGGTTACAGGACCCAAGTACTTAGCCATCCTCTGCTGCCTTCCCAGGCACATTAGCAGGGAGCTGGATTGGAAGTAGAACAGTAGGGACTCGAACTGGTACCCAAATGAGATGCTGACGTCACAAGCAGTGGCTTTACTCCCTTTGCCACAACTCTGGAACCAGATACAGGTCTTTTTTTTTTTTTTTTTAAGATTTATTTATTTAAAAGAGTTACAGAGAAAGAGAGGCAGAGGCAGCCAGAGAGATCTTCCATCTACTGCTTCACTCTCCAAATGGCCACAACGGCCAGAACTGGGTCAGACTGAAGCCAGGGGCCAGGAGCTTCATCCAGGTCTCCCAGGTGGGTATAGGGGCTTAAGGACCTGGGTCACCCTCCGCTGATTTCCCAGGGGCATCACCAGAGAGATGGATTGGAAGTGGAACAGCCAGAACTGTAACCCACTGAGCCACATAATTTAAATATTTAAATGTCTAAAAGAAATTAAAAATATCATTATCATATATAATAAAGCTAATAATTCCTTAATATCCCAACCCATGCAAATTTTCCCAGATTGTCTCAAAAAATAACTTTTTTGTTTGTTCAAATTTGTTACATGTCTTAAGTCTTAAGTAATTTTTTCATTACCTTTTTCTTGTATTTTTTAAGTTTATTTATTTTTATTTATTTGAAAGAAAGATCCATCTTCCATCTGCTGATTTACCCCCAAAATGCTCACAACAGCTGGGGCTCAGCCAGGCTAAAGCGAGGGGCCAGGATCTCCATCCAGGTCTCCCAAGTCCTTGAGCCATCATCTGCTGCTCCCAGGTGTGCACTGGCAAGAGGCTGGACTGGAAACACAACTGGGACTCAACCAGGCACTGCAATACAGAATGCAGGCCTCCCAAGTAGAGGCTTGACCCCCTGTACCACAACTGCCCCTCCCTTTGGCTTCATATAATTTATTAATTGGAGAAATCGACTCATTTATCTTACAGAATTTCCCATCTTCCTGATTTGATATTTTATGTACTGATGGTGCCATTTAGTACACTTCTCTGTTCATATTTTCAAAAACCAGTGGTTAGAAAATTGTTAAGTTCAGGTTCAATTATGCTGGCAAGAGCATTTTTTAAGTGGTGTTGTGGGCTTCTGACTACATCATCTCAGTTGGCAATTAATGTCTGCCTGGCCCATTTTTAATAATGCTAAGTATTATATAGTGGGCTCAAGGGCTGTCAGCTTAATCCTCCCATTTTAAAGTTTCTTATCAATCTTATCAACTTTCCACCTACTCATTTTAGCAGCCACTAATGATTTTTGCCTTAGATCCATTATTTCTTAAGGGATTAGGTTCATTGTTAATCCTACAAGACTTAAGTATTTTTCAACACCACTCCAAGATAGATCTGAGGTTAGGTATAAAAAATATTTTTTATGCATGTCATTTTTTCCCATAAATATTTGAATTTTTAG